CGCACAAAGGACCGGAGATGGCTGTCTTGGGTGAAAAAGGGGTGTGGTAGGTGAAACACATCTGCGCAGAAGATCAAGGACGATGGTCTACAGAACAGGAGCTTTGAAATGATTTAAAAGACTGCCACTCCCTTACTGAAAACCTAACATTGGTTCAGAAGGGCATTCCAACACAATGGCTCTCCCTCCTAAGGGAGGATTTTTCGTGGAAGTCCGGGGATTGGGGCATACTCATCTCCCAATCCCAGCCTACCAGAGCATATTGGTTTGTCTCTCGAATCGATCCACTCAACTACTTACCCAAATTCTACGCATACCCCATCGCTAATTACAGCCTACAAGAGCTGGAAATCCTGAACAAAGAACCCTAGTGCGACATACTAGAAGCCTTCCGACTGAGAAAAGTGAGGGTCTAAAAGGCCAAGCCCTGGAAAATCTTCCAGCCGGATCTCAGCATTTCAGACCTCAAATTCGACCTGAAAGAGATGGGTCTGGAAGCAGGGTAAGTCCGGGAAAACGAGGACGATATTTGAATATGATGTTAAATTCGGTTATGAACTGGGTCTACAGACCACAGATCCGGACGCCAGACTCTAAGGAAAATGGAGGGAGATTATGAACTGGGTCTACAGACCACAGATCCGGACGCCAGACCCCACGGACCCCATTTCCATCCCTTGGACGAAGTACCCGTCTATTAGACCAGTTAGGATCCGAAGCATGCAGTGGCTCGTAGCGCACGCATCTCTGCCGGTAAATCAATGGCTCCACAAGAGGAGGAAATATAGTAATATACAGACCCTGACAGCTCCGAATTATGCAGATAGTGCACAGACAACATCCCGGAAGATATACCCAACTGCCTCCTGCATTGCACTAAAGCAGCATGGATATGGAACAAGGTGCACGACCTATGGTCCCTCCTCTTCTCATCACCCCCTCCGTCCACAACTCCTCTGAACATCCTGCTCCTATCCAACAATACTAACAATCTCAAAGGTGGCAAGGAAGTCTGGTTTCACCTGCTCAGGAAGCTGGCTCTATGGGTAATCTGGAAAAGGAGGTGTACCAAGACTATCGAGGGTACCGAGGTCGCAAGGGAAGAAATGTGGGTTCTACTGCTGGGAATGGTGGAAACTGAGATTTGATCCAGATGGAGGGAGGTGACATCAACAACGAAAGTCAGACCAGAAAGACTAGCCACCAAGAGACGGTCTTTCGTGAGAAACTGGCTTCTACAGGGAAAGATTGCAACTGTGGCAGATAACAGATTGATTTGCAAGAAATGGCACAGCGCAACTCCAGCAAGGACGATGACCCAGTGATGGGCAAACTGAGATTACAATCTCAACAATATAGACAACTCTCCTCTTTTCGTGCTTTACACGGACCATCTGACAGAGTTGCAGTAGATTCTGAGAGGAAAAGTGGTAGGGCAAGCTGACAGTCAATCCTCCTGCTCTGGAGCAATCAATGCTGGTCAGGGTTCCTTCGGCCAGACGGAAGGAAGAGTGAGAGTGTTCACCATGTATTTCAATTCTTGACTTGCCGGTGGAAAGGAACCGGACTGACACTCCCCAGAATGGATATGGAGCCAGGACCATAAGGACCTGTTTCCAAAACAAACAAACAAAAAAAAAAATTAAAAAAAAAATCCAAATTGCAAATCACGCTGTAGTCCAGATAGTCATGTACCAAGCAGAGAGCACAATGCACCAAGATACCATCCAAATAAGAGCAAGACTATGAACTCAAATGTCAATGCCGACGCTCTCTGGCCACACTACCATAGTATCCAATGTCGCTCCTACTGATTGGCGCCCAGCACCCAGCCTACACTACTCAGCCTATCTAGCCTATGTACGTTCATGCAACAAGATCACATCGACATTGAAGACCAATGTACGCGACGTCATCACCAATGCAGACTGCCAGCATATACCAGGTACGTGTCTCTCTCTCTTCTCCTCATCACACTGTCTTCCCCACTGCATGTGCCATTGCGCCTCCTACCCGAAGACCACCATTGCCATCACCGCACCTGCGCCCAGCAGCCCGGCTATGGCCGCCGTGCGGCCGCTGCCTCAGCAGCACCCCTCTTTCACCTCTGCGCCCATGCGCGCGTCTGGCCTGCAGCGCTAGCACCGCTGCTCGTGCGCTAATGCCCAGGCCAGAATGCCTTGCCCCTGGGCGCTCAGTTTCCTTTATGGAAAGTGCGCCCTGCCGTTGGCTGGTCTGGGCCTGACTTGTACGGCCTAGTAGCTTCAGGCTGGCCCAAAGTATCTGCGCCCAGGCCCAGTTTCAGATACTGGCCAGGACCCCGTGCAGTTAGGCACACCCAGGTAGCTCACGAGGCTCCAAGTGTTCGGCGCGCTCTCATTGGCTCGTGGCATGTGTGTGACGCAGGAGCTGCTTTCTCATTGCTCCACGGCCGCTACGTGATCTGTTAACCTCTCACTGCGTGTGCCCAGGGCGCAACCACCTGAGCCTTGGGCTCAACTGTACAGCACAGCTGTTGTTTCTGGAAGGAGCCAGGAAAGGCTCATGTTGCTCTGTAACCAACTGGCGTGCTGCAACCTTCGGGTACCCCATGTACGAAGAATGGCAAAAATAGGCCTCACACGGATATGCAGGCCCACCTTCACTTAGGCCGGGCACGAGGCTTGATGGGGGCCTAAACCCAGAACGTCTGTGTGCCCGACGAGGCCCTTGCGAGGGCTCAATCCCCGCACAGTCTATCCAAATAAAACAAAGGCATTCACTGATTCAAGAAAACAGGTCTGAATACAACAGGGGGCATGCTCTCTGAATAAAACACAGGTATTCTATTCAAATGGGTCCGGTCACTGAGGTTAAAAAAGATGCGGCATTAAGCTTGATCTTAGCCAAAAAGCCGAGATTTGTATTCAAGTGGCATTCACATAATGCACCATGCAATTATAATCTACTTGAAAGTTGAACGCTGATAAATCCTTTGATCATTTTTGATAATTTGAAAAACTCTCATTTTCCACTGGGACTCTATCAGTATTCCAAGCAGTTGGTCAATCCCACACCTCATGCCTGAAACTGTTCTTTTGTCTTTCCCTTTGCAGTTCTTTCTTTTCTTTCCTTAGTGCTGGCTTATGATGAGGTGTGAACCTACAGTCTGTAGAGCCTCCTGTCTGATGTGGGTGAGTGAGTCTACTTTTTTTCCATCACGGGACCCTCAAAAGCAGTGGTTCATGCTCAGGGTATCAGATGCGGGGCAATGGTTGGTGCCCAACCGCAACTGGGGATAAGTCCGATAAGGTGGGTTACCACCATAAGGGCTTAGCCTCCTGATGAGTAGGTGAAACTCTGACGAAATGGTCTGTCACAGCCACTCGTTTCTTGTCCTTTTCTCGATTTCTGCCTATGGTTCACCTGGCACTTCTCCGAGACTATAGATACATATATTATTGCATATCTATAAAGTTGTAATGTTATGATCCTGGCCAATTTCGAAGTACACATAGTACAATGCCGTCAAACTGCGAAAAGAAATGAATGAACTTGAGAGGAGAGAGAGGGAAAGAAGAAAGAAGAAGAAGAAGATGTACACCATCAAAGACCAATGATAATTCCCTTTTTCTTCGCCAACCACTCTCCTCCTCCTTTTCTCCTCCCCTCTTATTCAAACAATAATTAATAATAATAATGTTGAATGGCTGAACCAGAATCAATGTCCGAATCCCTCCTCTACTGCAGGTATCACATGAGGTCCACCATAGCCATGGCCGCCCTTCTTCTTCCTCCTCAAAGGCCGAGGCTATGGCGGACTACCAGGGCATTGCCCTGCTGTGCAAAGGACAACACAAAGCAGCTATGGCTGCTATTGTTCAGGCCGCCATTCCTGACTCTGCCTCGAAGTTTCTTGGTTCAGCTCTACCCCCAGTGGAGCCTTCCAGATGCAGCGTCCACCAAGGTGATGAAGATGGCGTCAACCATAGCCAGGTAAGTCCCCTGGCGCTCCCCTCTACTTGCCTCCTCCTCCCTCCTCCTCCTGCCCGGCTCCTTCTACCGTAGCCACGGTGGAGAGCTGGGCGCTCCTCCTCCTCCAAGCGCTGCTTGCTGCTAGTGCTGGTCCGCCGGTCGCTCCAGCAGATTGTCGCCAAACTTGCATGCCAACAATGAGGAGGAGCACTTCGCTCCTCCTGGAGATATAGCGGCCTGCTTGCCTCTTGGGTGGTGACTTCCTAGGCCGTGTGGCCTCCAAGCAACCGGTACCTCCTCCCTTTCGGAGGGAAACATCATTGCAGACTCTGAGATTGCCCGTACAGGCCCTAGACTCAGACTGGTTGGACTGGTACCTGCCTAGACCTAGTCTACAACTACTGGGCCTCTACAAATGCGAACTTTCATCTTCTTCTGTTCGGCCTCGAGTACCCGGCATATCTACCTCTACTTTGGTGTGGTACCGGCCTACCTGCTACTTGAGTGTTTTTCTGCTGCTCAAAGTGTCGTGGGCCTCTTTCCCGGCCACTTGAGTGTTTTTCCCACTGCAACCCTCAATGTCACGGCCACAGGTAAGTACCGGCCCTTCGGCCCTCCCGCATGGTCAAGTACCCTTGCGGGTCACATACACACTAAAACCGACAAGCACTCAAACAGGCACGCAGACCAGCAAGCACGCACACACTCAGACTTAGAAAACTTAGCAACAAGTGGGAAACTCAGCAAGGCATATATTCCATGGGCAAAACTCAGAAATCAGTTGTGTGTCTCAGTCCGTGGTTGGCAGGTCCTAACAGTAAACTAAAAGAGAACGCTTGCAGAAGAAGCTTAGAAACGAGCACAAGGCATACAAGTGTTTTTTTTCCTTCTTCTTTCGGCTTTTTTTCAAGGTTTCTTCTTTCAGCTCTCCCTTTACTCTGCCTCTCCGGGACAAGGCTTGCCACATTCATGTATAGAGAGAAAGATCCTGAACTCCTATTTGAGCTGGTAATGAGTTTTAAGTTTTAACTGAAAAAGAACTTCACCTCAACTCCTCTTGGACAGCCACTTGGAGACAAAAAGAAATGGCAGTGAGGTATCTGACGCCGGTACTCCCTGCACACACACAGATGAAACCAAACTCAACTGTCTTCAGTGTGCCAATGACGAACTGCTTCACATGTAACATGATTAAGAACAAGAGAACATTGACCAGAGGAAAGAGTCGTTTGTGGACGAGGGCAGAGTTGCACCGGCCGACGGTCGGTGCCCCTTGATTGGTAGGCTGCCGACCAGCTGACCGGTCGGTTGGTCGGCACCTACTGGTTGGCGGTCGGCGGTACCCTGCAAAAAATAAAAACTTTTTTTGAGAGTCCCTAACCCCAATAACCCCACCAAACCCCCCATATACCCCCCAAACACCTCTAAACCGCCCCCACAACACCCTCATACCCCCCCCATACCCCCATAGCCCCCATATACC